AGAGAGAGAGAGAGAGAGAGAGAGAGAGAGAGAGAGAGAGAGAGAGAAAGTGTGTGTGTGTGTGTCTGTCTTTGTTTCGAGAATCCAGAGCATTTTGGCGGGTAGCAAGGAATATGGGCTGCCACTGGTGGTCCAGTGGGGCAATTTGAGCAGTGTTTGTAATTAACAGTACATTTAAGTGCCTTAAAGTGGACTTTCCTTCATGGTGCTGGCATAGATACTGACGGATGGGTTGGTGCTCTTCCAAGGAGGGATCCAGAGAGCACTGCATCTTTGAATGGGCCTCCAAGAGCATCTGCTCGACATGCATCACGGTGCAGGACTTCGATGGCAGGAAGTAGTAACACTCTGAGGTTTCTATCTATAATATGAATTACTTAACACTTGATGAAAATATTAACTTGGGATCCTTTTAATTTATCTCCAAACTACTGGGGTCACATTGTTAATATAAATGGCACTTTTTTGTAACTGTATTAGCTAGATTTCAGATAGATAGCCCAGCTAACTGCAAGGGAAGCTGGAAAACATAGCCTAGCTGGGTACTAGGGAAGAGAAGAATATGTTTGTTAAATGTGTTTCAGGAGGGAAAATGTATTCCATTTATACAAACTGTTTTGGGTTTTGACATGGAGTCTCCTTATATAGCTTAGGCTAGCTCTGAACTCACTATGTAGCCCAGGTTGGTCTTAAACTTGTGGTCTTGCTTCCATATTAGCTTTTGATGTTCCAGTTAGTACACTAACATGTACAGCTTGCAACTTGTTTTTAACTGCTACTTACAAGAGAGTAACTCAAATTGGTTCTTGCAAAACAATTGAGAAAGCTGAACTATTGGGAAATATTTCACGCAGGCCTCCAGTGTTAGCAAACTTACACTCCTAGCATGTGTGAGGCTGCAGAGTTGGGGAGAATCATGAATTCAGGAACACCCTAGGCTATATAGCCAGTTTCAGGCTACCCTGGACCCTGAAGCAAGGCCACACTACCTATATAATGATACTAACAGCAATGACAACCATTTGGATTTCTTTAAATTTAATAATATTACATTAGAAAAATCTCAATTTAAGTACAATATATATTTTATTTGCTACAAAATATCTTTTGTACACAAAACAAAAAATTCTGCTATTAGTAGTAAAATAGGAAGTTTAAAAAGTGTTCTCATTCTATAGTTAGAGATATTTGCAAATTTAGTTAAGAAAACTGTACTGGAAGCTGAGCCTAAGGACTAGAGAATACTAAGGCAAGTGCTTGACCACTGAGCTATCTCCAGCCCATTCCCGTATCCACTATTGGTCTTATAATTAATATTTTTAAGTTAAGATTAATAAAATAAATTCTAAATCTGCTATTGTTGGCACAAGGCTTGGATAGATGTTTACAAGACATTTTTATAAATGTGGGTCTTGTGCCTTTCCCTCAAGTACACTTATTACATTGTAGCCTAAATTCTGTCTCTCTCAGCTATTATGTGATAAGTCTGCAGCACCAGTTATATCTTGAGGCCAAACAAAATGATCACCTAACTCACTTTGGGTCCCTTAGGTGATTCACTCAGGTGAATTTTTTGCCATTAGCTGACATCAAAGTCAAGCTAAAGAGAAAAACACACCAACAATATAAACCCCAGTAGTTGGAGGTAAATTAAAACGCTCCCAAATCAGTACTTTCCTCAAATGTTAAATAATTCACTGTGGCATTACAGATACAAGCCTCCAGCAAAAGTTACACTTGAATAATTAAGGAAGCAGGAGACAAACAAATTGACTTCAGTGGTACAGAAACAAATTGGTGGCCTCCCAAACTCCTATGCCAAATTACTTTTTACATTAGCAAGTGTGTAAAACACCCAGGCAACTGATAAATTACTACATCAAGTCTGATTGCAGAAAGTGGCCTAGAATTATAAATCAGAGTTATTCCTAAACACAACTGAGATTCTACGCCCTCAAGTAAAAACTCATTTAGATTATTTAAAAAGATCTGTGGGATTTTTTTGGGGGGGGGAGAGTTGTTTTTTTGTTTTTGGGTTTTTTTTGAGACAGGGTCTTGTTCTGTAGCTTCTCAGCTGTGAGTCTTCTGCCTCGGGATCCAAGTGTTGGGCCTGCAGGTATGTGTTCTATGTACAGTGTTCTCTGGAAAGCTTTCATGTGACTGATGTGTACTAATTTTCCAGACAGAAGTTCTGTTTGGACTGCTGAGACTCCACATTGCAAGGATGAACAAAAGAGTTGTTTCAGAGAGGGTGATAAGAAGGTAGAAACCTGAACAAACATCATGGGGTACTACATACACACAGAAAACAGGCCCCTGAGTTACAGAACTATCTATCTACAATAAAAACAGGATTTTAATCCAACTTTGTCAATTCTCTATCTAGTAGATTTTTGATAAATCTTGACTTCTGAAATGGCTGTATCTTCTGTGACGTAAGAATGATTTACTTCTGAACACCCGTCATGTATGGAACCGCAATTTTAAAAGGCTGAGAAACAATCAAGTATAGCCAGCTTTTACCTCATACACATGTACCCAGCTGGCATTTACTTCATACACATCTACCCAGCTGGCATTTACCTCATACACATGTACCCAGCTGGCATTTACTTCATACACATCTACCCAGCTGGCATTTACCTCATATACATGTACCCAGCTGGCATTTACCTCATACACATGTACCCAGCTGGGAATTTACCTCATATACATGTACCCAGCTGGCATTTACCTCATACATATGTACATAGCTGGCATTTACTTCATACACATGTACCCAGCTGGCATTTACCTCATACACATGCATGTACCCAGCTGGCATTTACCGCATACATATGTACACAGCTGGCATTTACCTAATAGAAATGTGCACAGCTGGGAATTTACCTCATATACATGTGCATAGCTAGCATTTACCTCATACACATGTGCACAGTTGCCATTTACCTCATACACATATACACAGCTAGTATTTACCTTGTACACATGTGCACAGCTGTTTACCTCATACATGTGTGCACAGTTATCTGGATGTACAAGCCAACAGCTGACAACCAGGGCAGGCTCAAAGTCAGGAAGCCAGAAATCAGTGGGACTACTGACAGGATGGAGATATGTGAGCCATTCGCTTTCCACTGACACCAAGTTGCTAATAATCATTTTAAACCTTTGTGTATTTTCTCTCATAATCTGAGCTAAATTTGCTCAGGTTTTCTACAAAGTATATAAGGTAAAGTTTTGAGTTCTAACAGAGGCAGTTTGGAAAAGCTAGACAAACATCTAAGTAGATTTTCATTTGCAAGATTGTCAAGCCATTCTTACAGGAGGATCTGGGTCTGGGGGCAGGGTGGTGGTGGGGGTAGTGGTGGGGAGCATACCAATTTAGTTAGCATCTACCTTAATGTACAAGAGAAACAAGCTATTTGAAAGACAAAAGGCAGGTGAACCATGAGAAGTGACCTTGGTCTGAGCTTTCTGCACTCACTGTATGTAATGTGTGAGAATGTCACACATTACAGTTTGGGAACTTGTTCTCTCAGAGTGAAGTGAGCGTGACACTCTTCTAGCAGCATTAGAAAGAACAGACGGGTAACTCACAAAGGACTCATAACCTCACAATGTTTAACAAATACAAACCAATTCAAACACTGAAATTGATCCCTGTACAGCCCTTCTACTGAAGATTCCTAGACGAGAAAAAAAAAAAGAGATCTACCAAATGATGCTGGCTGTGTGCACGGACCACCACACACATGCGTGGAGATCAGACTGTACCAAATGATGCTGATGCTGACTG